AAAAATTAAATACTTTAAATTTAAAAGATACCTAAATAAAGGTTATTCAAATAAAATAAATATAATACATAAGGTATGGAGGTACATCTGTTAAAAAAAAAAAAACCCACAAGTCTGGGCGTGGTGGTGCATGCCTTTAATCCCAGCACTTGGGCGGCAGAGGTAGTCGGATCTCTGTGAGTCCAAGGCCAGCCTGGTCTACATAGTGAGTTCCAAGACAGCTGGGGTTACAGGGAGACCCTGTCTCAAAAAAAGAGAAAAAAAACCCACATGAATGCTAATATACTGGATCAAAGGTGTGGCCAGAATTACATTCTAATAATATTGTACCAGTTTTACGTACACATATTGTATGAGGTGATTATTTTCCCATGTGCCCAGGCACGTATTTCTATGAATGGTGTTTCTAAGATACTAGGAGCTATTATAACTTCAGTTGCTAGGGATACCTTTTTATCTGCTAATAAATGTTAGGGCAGAAGTGAAAAGGGACTATATTCTGAAATTGTGTACGAAAAGTAAATTTTTTATTATAAAAGAAACTGCTTTGTTTTGGTTTTGACTTACTGGTGTCTGAATATTTTTCCCCTCTTGAGTTTGGAAGAATAAATATTTTTTTTATATATTTTGATATAGGCCAAAGTGGAGATGGCAGAACCCATCTTAACGACAAATATGGCTATTGATTGGTTCAGAATCCCAAAGGAAGACCTTGTGAACTGGAAGATACTTGGGATGATACATCAAGTTGAATGGCCAGAGAAATTAGATGATCATTTATAAAATCTGGTGACTGGCTTTTTCTTCTGTGTTCTTGACTTCCTAAATTTATTTGCCCATCTGATTCTCCTGAACTTTGGTATTTATGTTTAAAAGTGTTTGTGTATATATGTAAAAAGGATAAAAAGGAACCATATGCTATGGGAATTAATAAAGTAAAAGACATGACTATTATAAAATGAGATGGTGACAATGTCTCTAATGTTGATTTAATTAAGGGCCTGTGCTGGTACCTGGTGCCAGTCTGGGTGACTCCTTCCATGAAAATGGATCGCCCTTGGGGCTCAATTTTGGATACCATAACTGTCAATGCAAAACATAGCTCTTACTTCAAGAGGAATAAGAAATAGTTTATTCTGAGCCAAATGTAAGTGGCCATGGCCCAGAAATACAGATTCAGGTCGCCCCAAATAACATGTTCCGCCATGAAAGTAGCCATATGAACTTTTGTTAGTTACAAAGCAAACAGTCATAAATCAATGCATTTACCAAATACATTGGTGGAGAGTTCAGGTAGGTAGATTACAGCAAAGTGGGGAAAACTGCTATACATTTCAGATGCTGCCTAGTGGCATTCTTAACTTTTTGGTTGGTAGAAGCTAGTGATTTACTAAAAATATATTCCAAACGTTTTTATTTATAGTCCAAGGATATTGGGCCAGACACAGAGTTAGGCATAAATGGCTATTAAGGGGAGCAAAAATATCCCAGGAAATAAATGAGGAAATAAATGGACAGTCACATTACAGAAGAAATCAGATCACAATACAGTATCATTTTGGATTCTTCCTAACAAAAATTTACTTTCTTTGTGTACCAGATATTAATGACAGGGCTAGAAACAGACTTGTGAGAAATCAGGATTCCACAGGCTTTGTGAGCATAACTAAATTTCATTCCTTATTTCATAATCAGAAAGAGAACTGGCACTACATTGAAGTCATTTTGTAACATTGCCCATTTACTTGTTTCTGGCAAAATATAACTTAGGGTTTGTTTGGTTTTTTCTAAGACAAGGTCTCCCTGTAACCCCAGCTGGCTCAGAACTCACTACGTAGATCAGACTGGCCTTGATCTCATGGAGATCTGCCTGCCTCTGCCTCTGAGTGCTGGGATTAAAGGCATGCGCCACCAAGCCTGGCTTATTTAGTATTTTTCAAATCCTGGCTGTTTTATGTGGTCCTTTGAAGACTCATTTATTCAGTTACAGCAGTTACAATCTCCCAGGTTACAAGTTTCTCTCTCTCTCTCTCTCTCTCTCTCTCTCTCTCTTTCATTTTCCCTGTATGTTCTTATTTTTTAATGTTAATTCTTTTGTAAAGATATACATTTTAGCTTATTTGATCTGTCCTAAAATTCCTAGTCTAGTACCTATATTTCCAGAGAGGTCTAATTTTGGCTCTAGCATTTGGCCAGTTTTGGTAAATGCTGTTGCCATTGAGGTCTGGTTGTTTTTTGTATAATTTGGATAAAAAGAGTCAACCTAAAATCTTTGGAGTATCCCTAATAAAAGTCTATAAACTCAAAGTTACCCCAAGGCACACAGAAGTCTTAGTATGCCATCCATAGACGCTTTCCAGAGCCTTTTAGGTCTCAGGGATTTTTACATATTCTGGAATTTGAGTTCAAGTTACTCCTATAAATTGGAGTTTGAATGTTTGATAGATATGGTAGGCTTTGACTCTAGGGGTTATGGATCTAAAAGAGAACTCCTGTTAGTAGATTTAATATAGAGCTCTGCCAGTCTGGAATCTGGAATTTTTCTTTATCCAAATTATACTAAATAATAGAATGCCCTTCTCTGTGGGTAGTTGAAAAAATGGAGTCATTCTAATCATGAAGATTTGGTTCAAGTAAAGTAGGATAGTTTGAGTAAGCAATTAGTCATAACAAAAACATGGTTAATGATTAATGATATGATATATCATTAAAGTCATCAAGATCAGTATTATTTTTATTATTAAGAAAGCATACAGGGGCTAGAGAGATGGCTCAGCAGTTAAGAGCACTGGCTGCTGCTGCAGAGGATACAGGTTTGATTCTCACCACTCACAGGGGAGCTAACAACTGTCCCTAACTCCAGTTCCAGGGGAATTTGATGGCTCTTATGAACTCTGTGGGCATTGTACAACACAGGTGCACTCACACACATTCAGGCAATACACTCATACACATAAAATATTTTTTAAAAAAACATACAGAGGTAAATTCTAAATTTCTCAGGCAAGTTTTTAAAGATACACTTTTTTAAGAAATACATTTTAGAGGTTGGAGAGATAGCTCAGTGGTTAAGATCACTGACTGCTCTTGCAGAAAACCCAGGTTCAGTTCCCAGCACCCACATGTCAGCTAACAACTCTCCGAAACTTCGGTTCTGGGGGATCCGATGCCTTCTTCTGGCCTCTGTGGGCATTGCACACATGGATGCACTTGCATATGTGTAGGCAATGCTCTCATATACATAAAAACAATTTTTGTCCTATATATTTGTTTTTATTTCTTCTTGTCCATGTAGTATTTTTTTTTAATTTTAATCTTTGTGTGTGTGTATTTCATACAGAACATGCCAAACAATCTTATTCATCTTTATACCCACATCCCAAATGGCACCCTCCCATAGCGCCCCCCCCCCACTGGAGTCCATATACTCTGTCATCTCTGTTACTGTCCACTGTGTTGTCAGTGCCCCCAGCAATCCCCCAGTGCAAGTCCATTTGCTGAGTCCAGTCAGCCTATCTAGAGTCCCTTGTTTTAGGAAGATCAGCTCTTCCTCATCTAGCAGCAATTACTTGCCAACATTCCTTTAGATAAGATTGGGGTCTGCTGCTCATTTTCCTAGTTCTATGCTGGGTTACTGTCTGGGAGTCTCTTGGGCCACCTTGGCCAACAACTCAAAGGAAGGAAGGTATCTCCTGTCTGGTATTGTTTCTTGTTATGTAGGCTTTAGCTGTACACATGGACTCTTAAAGAAATAATACTCATCACTTTAATCTTTGGTTATACTTTCCTTTTGGGTGTTTAAAACCATACAGTTGACCCAAATGAACCAATTTATTTTTACTCTTAAGGTCGTTTGAGGAGCTGTTCCTCAGGGGTCACATGGGCTTAGGAGGAGCCCCTGGCTCCTTTCTTTTACCAGTTCCATATATGTGAAGATAAGTCAAAGGTCCTGCTCGATTGTGGCTGGCTTCACTTGGAAGCATGGAGGAAATGTTTCCTCTGAGTTTACCCTCCACTTTATAGACTGGACACTGGTTCAAGTCCATCTGGTGGGGTCTCCATGCCTCCCTAAACAGGAGGACAGGTGACTCACCACAGTTACAGAACATTCTGAGAGATGCTTGATAGTCCCCTGAAACTTAATTGACCTTGGCGGGCAAGGGGCAAAAACTATCCTTTAAGTCCCTCTGACCAGATTAGTATAGGCCTCACATCCAAGGTTAATTCCACCAGCCTGGTACTTTTAATCACCATGAGCTATGTAGATAAAGCTTGGGCAAAAACCTGTAATCTCAGCACTTGACAGGCAGAGACAGGAGGATCACCACAATTTCAAGGCCAACCTGGTCTACATACAGAATTCCAGGCCAACGACTAGGGTACACTGTTGAAACCCTGCCTCAAAAACAAAACACCAAGCAAAGATGAAGCAATAATGACAGTGTAGCAGTCAACCAGACATCAGCAGTGGGTTAAGAAGGGGTTAAAACTTTCAGCCCTTGGGAGAGATGGCTCAGAAATTAAGAGCACTTACTATCATCCCTAACTCCAGTTCCAGGGGAATCCAATGCCCTCTTTTGACCTTCACAAACATTGCATAACACGGGTGCACTTATATGCAGGCAATGCACTCATATGCATAAAATAAAATAATAAAATATATTTTAAAAAATTTTAAGCTCTGGGAATTAGCATTTTACAGCTAAGCTGTCAATGATGAGAGTATTTTCATAGGAGCTGCTTGATGCCTACATAACCAGTAAGTTAAGGGGCCTTAGTCACTGTGAAAGTAGAAAAAAACAAAAACAAAATAATCAGTATGTCTGTACTTTAGCTAGGATGGACTTGAGGTAGTAATCTTGAGTAATCATTCTATGTTTATTGTCAAGAGAAGCAAGAAAAGAAATCCCTATATAGTAAAACCCCTTGTATTACAATAAAAATAAAAAGGCTGCCAGGTATGGTGATGCATGCCATTAATCCCAGTACTTAAGAGGCAGAGGCAGGAAAATCTCTATGATCTTTATGAATTCTTGAGTAGCCTGATCTACATAGTGAGTTCCAGGCCATTGAGGGCTATGTAGGAAGACCCTGTCTAAAACAAAAACAAAAGCAAAAAAACCTTCAAATCATGGGGATAAAGGTTAACAGATCAACAGGTAAAATGACATATAAATAATTGCGTGAAATCAGTAATCATGAGCATAGACAAACAAAAACAAAAACTAAACTACACAACACAATTATATTAAATCAGAATGTACTCTTAGTAGAACCAAAGTAGTTTATATCTCTATGTCTTTGAGATGTAAGAGGAGACCCAGTGAAAGGCAAAAAGGTCAGAAGATGAAACTCATTCAGCAGAGAGGGAGCAGCCCTTACAATGGAAATTTCTAATTAATTAGTCTAATTGTGGAAACTCTGGTGTGTAAATCAATAGGGTGATCTGAAATTCTTTAGAAAATCCCAGATAGTCTTAAGATCACTCAAGAAACCTCATAATTAATGTTTCCAATCCATCTGTTGTCCAGGAAGTGTAGAGAATATCAGGATCTATGTTCCCTCTAGGCTTTATCTTAAAAAAGGCATAATTTTTTCCTTTATAGAATTTGGTTCTGTATGGGGATTACTAGAGATGATCAGGAGAGGCTTAAAAGGAGGAAGGAGCAATCTTAGAAGAATAGAGAATAAGGGTTGAGGAGTTAGGTTACTCAGAATTCATGTTTAGTTTTGACACAACCTTTAACGTTATTTTTTAAAATAGTATTAGGGATTGAATTTAGAGCCTTGTGCATACTATGCAGGTGCTTTACTACTGAGCTATTATCCCCAGCTATAAAATTCTCATTAATTTCCTGTTCTATAACATCTGTTTAAAAAAGTTTTTTGAAGCCAGGTGCAGTGGTGTACACCTATAATCCCAGTACTTGGGAGGCAGAGGCAGGAGAATCTCTGTGAGTTC